GGCCGGACGGCGGCGTGGGGGAGGGGCGCGTGGGGGAGGGGCGGCCGCGCGGGCGCCCCTCGGGCTCGGGCCCCGGTGGGGTCGGACTGAGGGACCGTGGACCCCTTCCGCCCGGCACTGGGGCAGGCGGAGGGGAGACGGTGTCAATCGGACCCCCCCCTCCACCTGCGGGGACTTTGGTGCCCGCCAACTCGGGGGCGTGCGGTGGCACGCCGGGGAGGGGTCGCGTGAATGTTTGTGGGCGGCTGATGACTACGGGCAGGTGGTGGCCACACTCCACGCAGGCCACTTCCTGGAAGAAGACTTGCGCCTACCCTCCACTCCCCCAGCTTGGAATGGGCCGAGCAGAGTCGCCTAAGGTTGGGGAGAGTGGGGAGCAAGTTGCCCCCGGGCCCACCCCTTCCACCTCTCGCCTGCTCTGGGCTCTTTTGTGTCAAGTGCGCCCCCCTCCCATGACCCCGTCAGCCTGAGGTGGCCGAGCTGCCCAGCTGTGACTCTCACGTGGCTGCCATTCACTGTCACTCTCGCTGAAACCACCCACACCCTGACTACGCTGAGGGGCGTGAACTGCCCACCCAGCTGTTCTGCAGCTTGACCAACACTCGGCACCCCTCCCCGGATGACAAGTCACCCGCGCGCTCCGGGGTGGAGGGGACCGAGCGCTGCCTCGCCTCAGGCGCCCGCGGCGGCCCCACTCAGACCACCCTCCTAGTGGAGCGCTGGCTTTAGGGTAGGTGAGAAGCATCTGGGGGATGAAAGGGCACGTCCACACCCCCAGGCCTCCGGCGGCCATGCGGCACTAACAAGTGCACCAACTTCGAAACGCCTGACGTCGTGCTCTTTGTAAAACTGTCATATCGATCCGTGTGGCTTCTGTGACAACTGTTCCTGTCTAGTTGAGACAGTCTTGGAGGGAGTGTGGGGTGCTTTCTCGTGGGGCGGGGGCAGGATGTGTGTCTACTGGAAACTGGATGAAGTCTCTCCGCCCCCAGGCTTGTCTGAAAAAGGGAAAAGTTTGGAAAAAGTTACCCCGAGAGCCCACTGACGCCGCAGGAGGGAGAAGGAATAAAGAGCGGCGGGGAGGGGGTTGCCCATGGGGTTGCCTGCTGCAGGGGGTGCTAAAAAGAGTGGGGAAAGGATGTCAGGTGAGCTTAGGGGCTTGGCAGCTCTCACCTATTAGCACTCGAACTTGCAGTGTGGTGTTAGAGTGTTCGGGACGAGGGATCCCGACAGGAGAGGGAGAGCGGCGTGGACGCATCTAAGGTTGAGAGGGGTCTTTGTGTCAATAACTCCCTCCCCTTTTCCCTCTCCGCTTTCTGAAGCGCCTGGAAGCGTCCAGCGCTTTTCAAATTTCGTATCTGAAATGAAAGCCCACCTCCCCTCTCTCCCGGGGCAGATTTCTCCCCCGTTCAGCCCTCCAAGTCTAACGAGTGACCCAGATACACCCCCTCAGATGACTTTCCGAGCTGAAACTTTGGGGGAATATTTTTAGCTTGCTCATTATTTCTGTCTACCCAAGTGTGGGGAAAAGAAGCCTCCACTAAGGAAATGCGTTCGTGCTGCCCTCGCTCCTTTTCTAGAAGATGGATTTGTACCTAGCAGAGGTTTCCATTGTTTTTCATTCTGCTTTGATTCTCACCATTTTGTTTTACGTTCTTACCCAAGACCAATTTTATCCCTTCCCCCCTCTCCAGTCTTCTTACATTGTTAAACGTTTAAAATAATAGCACTCGTGCTGGTGGGGGAAGGGAGCAGGAAGCCCAAAACTCATTTCTCTCCCTCCCCCTTCTGGCAAGTCTAGAGAAATAATATAACATAATATATAGATGCGATTCCTTGAGGTGGGGGTGGGGAATGATTGTGGGTGGTGCGGAAAATTCTGGTAGTTTCTTTGCAAAAGGTCTGAAAATACAAACCCACCCCTTGCATGCAGTACGCATGTGCAGCAGACCTATTATGGTGGTTCGTTGTGGGGGAGGGAGGGGAATTTGAGAAAAAATAAATATATGTGTGAGAGATTGATGGTGAGATTAGAAGAAGAGAGGGGCGGGCGGGAGGCGAGGCTTTCGCCGAGGCTCCTCCCGCGTCCTGGGGCTGCCAGGCTCCGCCCTCCGCTCCGCGCCCGCCCTCCTCCTCCGTCCCCGCCTTCCCGAGATCTGATCCCGGGATGTGGGAGAGTCTGGGCTCCCGGCCAGCATTGAGTGGCTGGTGAGACAGAGGTTGGGACTTAGATTTGCTTTATTACCCTCCTTGTCTTTCCTCGCCATTCTCCTTTGCCTCTCCCTGCCACCGACGTCTGCCCAAGTGCGGGAACCCCGGCGGGGTGGGGAGCCGAGTGAACAGGCTGGGAGGTCCCGGGCCTTGTGCCCCACCCCCGGCGGGGGGTGACCGAGGCCACTTCCCTGATCCTTGACCAGTTGGCCTGCCCTTGCCACTGCCCCAGCGGCAGCCTCCGTTTCCATGTTCGTGTTAGCCGAAGTCCCTGGGGCCAGGGGGAGCCGGCAGCTGCGGCACGGGGTCTTCCCGACTTCCTATTCGGTTTTCACTCCCAGGCTTTGAGCAGGGTGAGCAGGTCCCCCCCACCACACACACACACACACACTCTCTTGTAGTGGCTTCCTGCACAGGGGGTCACAGGATGCTGGAGTTCCGGGGAAGCTAGCTTTGAAGGAAGGAGCTGCTGGG